TCGGCCCACGGCTTCGAGCTCGTCGGTGCGGGCATGGAGGACAGCCCGAACCGCAACCCTCTGAGGGTGAGGATCCAGGAGCTGGAGATGGAGTCTCGCAACCCTCGGGAGGCGATGCTGTCCGCGCTCAAGGCTTTCGATGGCGCTGCAGACCTCGGCCGCGTAGGGGAGATTCGCACTCGCGTGGCCCCTGAGGTGCTCACGCGGCTCTACCGCGGAGGGAAGAAGGCCCAGGCGGAGCTTCGCGAGTGGCTCCGCAGCAAGGAGCTCGAGAGCTGCAGCGCGGCCGCGGAGGTCCTGGTCCTTGGCATGGTGATTGACCGGGTGTTGGAGACCGAGTCGCCGGCGTCGGTCATCAACTCGAGGGCGGCGGAGCTGGTCTGCCTGAGGATCTACAGCATCATGAAGGCGTTCGATCGGGTTCAGAGGAAGGACGACTGGCTTCGCCCGAAGAGTCAAGCAGGATCGAAGTGGAAGAGCAAGGTCGACAGGATGCTGGCGGAGCAGTACTTCAGGGTCGACAGGTCGGAGAACGACATCGACGCGGCGGACGACGAGGTGACCGAGAAGCTCAAGAAGGCTCTCTTCCAGAAGCACTTGGGGTCAGTCTCCGGTTCTGCCGCGGCGGACGAGTAACAAACCAGCCGCCCCTTGGTGGCGGGGCGGTTCAGATCCAGAAGTCCACCCGAGCAGAGGGGGTTGTTCGTGGCCCTCTTCTCGCTCGTTTCGCTCGGTGTGTACTGGACCCTCGTCGGGCCCTTCATCATCCAGTTCGGCGGTGCTGCTACTGCTCCGCCCGTCGGTTGGCGTACAACGCGTCCCGCCTCTTCGGCGGCTTCAGCGCGCGCTGCCTGCTCGAGCTTGCTCTTCGAGCTCCCAGTTTTGAAGGCCTTGCGGGTTTCCTTGTACTTGCCAGCTCGGCCTTGCCGCGACCCAGTTCATCGTCATGAGCAAGGGCGTCGCCCAGGACATGGAACCCTCGCGACCTCGCCAGGAGGGCGCTCGCGGGCATCGAGATCTGATTGGGACGCTACCCTTTTTACCAGCGACGTGGTGCTCAACCTCGGACGGCGTGTTGAGCGCGGGCGGGAGGCGCGTGACGTGGGCTCGGTCGAATCGTGCCATTGCTGCGCTCCGCGGTGTGGCCAGGGGGCGCTTCAAGGAGTTGAGGGACTGGGAGTCGCACGTCTCCAGAGGCGGTTGGGCCCAGTCCACGTTCTTGCGGAAGGAGATTGTCCGACGCGTCTGGAACGAGCAGGTCAAGAGGGCTACATGGGGCTCCGTCGACGATGGCAGAGCGGTTTTGCGCCGCTATGGCGAGAAGCTCTCCGTGGGATATGGGAGCGGCTCTGCCGCGGAGGCGGGAGGGAGCGAGCGATTTCAGAGAGGGGCCTTGTGCCCGCTGCGAGTATCCGAGGTAGACCTGCCTCCAAAGAAGCTCCGAGGGGTCAGCGTGAAGGAGCTGGCGCGGTCTGCGGCCGCTTACCTCGATGAGCCTGGGCGTCTCATGCTGAAGTCGGAGGCGGAGATCGACATGAGGGAGTATCACAGGATCAAGCCGTACGAGGCCCCCGAGCTCAAGCGCGGCAACACTCGGCTGGAGCTGGCCGTCAAAATGTGGGAGTCGAACATGCTGCAGTACGTGGACGAGGTACGGGAGAAGCTCTCGGTCTTCACCGTTGTCAAGAAGGTCGAGGGGACGGTCTCGGACAAGAAGGTCACCTCCAGGTTGGTGTGGGGCGCGCGTCGAGTCAACCTGCACTTCCAGACGCCTCCGTGTGTGCCTCTCGGCTCTCCCGCGGCGTTGGCGGAGATCGACCTGGGCCCCGACGTCTTGGGGGAGAAGCAGTTCCTCACCTTCCAAGGCGACGTGCCCGTGATGTTCTACAGGCTGAAGAACTCGCCCGAGCTGTACTCCTACTTTGTCTTGGATGGAGTCGACCCGGCCGAGCTGTGGGAGTTCGCGCGAGGTCGAGGCGTCGACCTTCCGCCTTCGCCCGAGAGCGCCGTGGGCGTCGCCTGCTGTGTGGTGCCCATGGGGTGGAGTTGGGCCGTCTTCCTTGCCCACACCTCCTTGACCGACTGCCTCGACGACCTGGAAGCCGCAGGCGCTGCGAGGGTCTAGCACGGCAACTCCGTGCCGAACCTCCTCGAGCACCGCTTGCTGTACTGGCTTTACATCGACGACTACGGCGGGGGCCTGACTGGCGACGACGAGAACGATCCGAACCTGCATGCGGCGGCGGCCGAGGCGAAGCAGATGCTCATGGACAAGGGCCTGGCGGTCCACAAGGAGAGCGCGGGGAGGGGGCTTCCCGAGCAGCTGGGCATCACCATCGACCCCGTCACCTTGCGCTGTCGCGTCAAGGACGAGAAGCTACGGGAGCTGGTGCTGGCAACCGAGGCCCTCGCTCTTCAGGACTCGGCCCCGCCCGCTCTCCTCGAGGTGGTGATGGGGCACTGGGCGTGGGCCATGATGGTGGCTCGAGCTGCCTTCTCTCTACCCCGCGTCATCTACGCCTGGATCCACGCTTCGGAGGATCGGTCGCGGCCCAAGCTGTTGTGGAAGGACGTGGAGGCGGAGCTGGTCGCCCTGGCCGAGCTGTCCGTCTTCTTCTTCTCGGACCTTTCTTTGGCTTGGCACTCGAGTGTGTACATGACCGACGCCAGCAACTATGGCTACGCGGGGATGTCCTCGGAGGCCTCAGCAGAGTCGCAGAGATGCGAGGCCCGCTGGGCCAGGCAGCAAGGCTGGGGAGTGCAGGTCGACACGGCGTACACCGAGGCCGAATGGCGACACGCGGCCAAGGACGACATCTTCTCCGAGGAGACCGAGGAGACCACGGGGTTCAGGGTCACGGGCCTGCCCGGCATGGTCGAGCTCTTTGCGGGGTCGGGGAATCTGGCGGAGGCCTTCAGTGTGGGCGTCCCCACCTGGGCGGAGGCCTGGGAGATCGACAACGGGAAGCAGTGCGACCTTCTCGACCAGACGATCGTCGCGAGGTTCATGCTCAGGCTGCGGCAGAAGGAGTTCTGGTGGGTCCACGCAGGTCCACCGTGCTCCACCTTTTCGCGAGCCAGGATCCCCCGGCTGAGGACGCCAGATCACCTGTTTGGTGTCCCAGGCTTGGGGAGAGCGGACCGCAGGAAGGTGAAAGACGGTACCATGATGGCGATGGTCGCGATCGAAGCTTGCATCCTGGCCCTCACGATCGGCGTGTTCTTCTCGCTGGAGAACCCCCTCGACAGCCTCATCTGGCTCCTCCCCGAGATGGCTGCGCTCGAGGCGCGGAGCGACGTCTTCGTCATTGCCCTCGACTACTGCCAGTACGGCACGCCTTGGAAGAAGCCGACCAAGATACTGACATCGTGCGAAGATCTGAGAAGCATTGCCAGAACGTGTTCGGGTACGACAAGATCCTGTTCCGTCACGCGTCAACCGCGTCAAGTTTTACGGGGAGATGCGCCTTGTGGGACCAAGTGGACCAAGCTCGCCTGCCCCTCCCCGACGAGCCTCTGCGAGGAAATCGTGAGGATCGCGAAGGAGCACGCACCAGCAGGAGTGGGGCGACCTCTACCAGCACACCTGCGGAGGGCGGCGCGACAGCCTGCCCCTCCCCTGGCCGCGGAGTGGACGGACATCGAGCGCTGGGCGACGGCTTTTGCTGGTCGCTGGGAGCGACGCGAGCACAACAACGTGCTCGAGGGCCGTGGGGTGCTGGCCGTCCTTCGACATCTATCGAGAAGCAGCCGCTCATGGTTCAAGCGCGTCCTCATCTTCACGGACTCGCTCGTCGTCGTGGGCGCGCTCAGCAAGGGACGAGCCTCGTCCTTCGACCTCCTGAGGCTCTGCAGGATGGCGGCGGCCATCCAGCTGGCGTGCGGCATCCGCATCTACCTGAGGTGGGTCCCCAGCGAGATCAACGTGGCGGACGGCCCGTGGCGCGGCGGGCCGAAGGGCGCGGATGCCGACGCGGTGCAGGGCCACCTGACCCGCGGGCTCCCGCGGAGTCTGCGGGCTGCGTTTCGACGTCATCGGGGAGAAGCCGCAGCACAGGGTGCGGCCCACTGGTGATCGCGCTGGCCGTCTGCGTACACATGGCCAACTACGGGGCCCTGGCGACTCCGCCCCCGCCCCGCCGTCGGGGTTCGGGGCGCCTCGCCACGAGCCCCCCTCCGCCGCTGACTGGGCGAGGGGCTCGAGCCTGGGAGCACGCCAGGGACGATGTGCTCAGCTACGCCAACCGCCTCTGCGTCCACGCTGTGGACGACAATACCAACAGGCGCTACGTCAAGGAGGTCAGGCGTTTCCTGCAGGACGTACAGCGGCAGCGGGTCGCCTTCGACAGCTTTGCCGAGCGCGACGCCGCCATGGCCAACTACCTGTCGGCGCTGTGCTACTTGCACCGCGAGAGCGTGGGCGTCGGCAACGCCGTCTTCTTCGGGTTCCTGCGCATCCACGAGGACCATCGCGACAAGATGCCGCAGTCGGCCCGCGCGCTTAAGTCCTGGCTCAGGATGGCTGCGCAGGGCGAGGGGGGGCCTCTCGACCGAGCCTCCATCGCCTGCATTGCGCTGTGGATGCTACGCGGCAACATGATCTACGAGGGCGTCCTGGTGCTTCTCTCCTTCGACTGCCTGCTGAGAGAGCAGGACTGGAGCCTGCTCAGGACCATGGATGTGGCGTTTGACAGATCGTCGGCGAGTCTGGCGCTGGGAGTACGTGCGCGGGGCGAGACGGTCAAGACGGGCAGTGACCAAGGGGTGGTCCTCCGCTTCCAGTTTGTGAAGGCCCTCCTGCAGGGCGTGGTAGACGTGACCGCCGACGGCGACCTGCTCTTCCCGCTCTCCGCCGCCTTCTTTCGGAAGACCTGGTGGACGGCATTGCGGGCCCTCAACTTGGAGTGGAGCGGACCACCGCACGGCCTACGACACTCGGGCGCTGCTGACTTCGTGGAGTCGGGCCAGACGCTGGAGGCTACCCGACGGCGCGGCCGCTGGAAGTCGGCCGCAGCCGTCCAGCGCTACACGAAGCAGTATGAGCTGGTGAGGCATCGAGCGCAGGCGGGGCACCACATCGAGCAGGAGGGCGCTGTCTTTTGGACCGACCCGTCGGCTGCCCTCCTCGCCAGTCTCGCCGGCGTCCAGCTCAAGAAGTTCAAGGGCCTCAGGAGTGCGCTCACCACCCGCCTGCAGGAGCTCGCAGGCGACGACGAGTCCAGCGTTTCCTCGACTGCTTCGGCACGGACGGGTGGTGTTCCAGAAGAGCCCCGCAGTGCTGAGGCAGCGCAGCGGGCCAAGCGTCAGAGACGCCGACAGAGAGGCGGCTGACGCCAGATGGGAGAAATGCGTTTTCTCTGGCAGGATGGTTGAATGTTGCAGGGCCCTGCCATCGTGCTGGGCCGTGCGCGCAGATCGAGCCGCGCGCACGACCAGCCAAACCTTTTGCCCCTCGTCGGGGCACCAGAGCGGCAGTAAAAAGTGATGTGGCAAATATCGTGACTGTGACTGCTGAGGCCAACGCCATTCCGCCTGTGTGCTGTCTAGGTCTCTAACTTTAACTTGAATGCGTTGGGGGCAAAAGTAGGCTGGCCCCCTCCCCCTCGGGCCCCAGGAATATCAGTTTTCAAACATTCTTTCCTGGGCTCGGTTTAAGGGGATCCAGGTGGCCGCTCCCCCTTGCCTCTTGTCCTACAGATGTGTCTCGCGTCTGTTGGCTCGCAGTTTTTTGGGCCCCTCCTCCCTCCCCGCCTCCACTTGTGTGTTCTTGGCGCGGTTGAATGTTGCAGGGCCCTGCCATCGTGCTGGGCCGTGCGCGCAGATCGAGCCGCGCGCGCGACCAGCCAAACCTTTTGCCCCTCGTCGGGGCACCAGAGCGGCAGTAAAAAGTGATGTGGCAAATATCGTGACTGTGACTGCTGAGGCCAACGCCATTCCGCCTGTGTGCTGTCTAGGTCTCTAACTTTAACTTGAATGCGTTGGGGGCAAAAGTAGGCTGGCCCCCTCCCCCTCGGGCCCCAGGAATGGGCCTTCTTGGGGCTCTCTTGGAGGCCATCCGGGCCGCCGTGGAGGCGGGGGGGGGCGGCGCGGGGGGGGCGACAACGCCGAAAGAAAGCGGTCGGAGCGGAGGCGGCGGTGCGACGCCGAAGCACACTGGGCAGCTGGGGAGGCGGAGGGAGCCGTGGAGGCGGGGGGGGGCGGGCGTGGAGGGCGGGGGGGGGGGCTGTGGGGGGGGGGCGACGGCGACGCCGAATAAAGTGGGTCGGGGGGGAGGGGGCGGGTCGACGCTGGGCTGGGCTGCTGGGGAGAAGGGGGGGGGGTGGGGGGGGCTGGTGGCGACGGACGACGCCGAAAATAAAGTGGTCGGGCGAGGGCGTGCGGCGCGCTGGGCCGCTGGGGAGAGGGGGGTGGGGGGGGGGGGCGACGACGACGCCGAAATAAAGTGGTCGGGGCGCAGGGGGCAGCGCGCTGGGCTGCTGAGGAGAGGGAGATGGGGGGGGCGACGACGACGCCGAAATAAAGTCGTCGGGGCGGAGGGGGCGGTGCGCTGGGGTGCTGGGGGGCGACGCATAGCGACGCATGTCGACACAACGCCGAAATAAAGTGGTCGGGGCGGAGGGGGCAGCGCGCTGGGCTGCTGAGGAGAAGGAGGGGGGGGGGGGGGGCGACGACGACGCCGAAATACAAGTCGTCGGGGCGGAGGGGCGGCGAGGGCTGGGCTGCTGAGGGAGGAAGGGGGGGGGGTGGTTGCGACGACGACGCCGCAATAACGTGGTCGGGGCGGAGAGGGCGGTGCGCTGGGCCGCTGGGGAAAAAAGGACCAGGGGGGGCGACGATGACGCCGAAATAAACTCGTCGGGGCGGAGGGGGCACCGCGCTGGGCTGCTGAGGAGAAGGAGAAGGGGGGGCGACGATGACGCCGAAATAAACTCGTCGGGGCGGAGGGGGCGGTGCGCTGGGGTGCTGGGGAGCGACACATAGCGACACAGGTCGACACAGCGCCTTAAATAAAAATGGCGGGCGCAGGGGGCAGCGGGCTAGGGCTGCTGAGGAGGAGGGATGAGGGGGGTGGTGGGGGCGGCGACGGTGCCGAAATAAAAGTCGTCGGAGCTCAGGGGGCGGCGCGCCGGGCCTGGGCTGCTGGAACGAGACACGAAGGGGGGGGGGGGGGGGGGGGGCGACGAGTGCCGAAATAAACGTGGTCGGGGCGAAGGGGGGGCGGCGCGCTGGGCTGGCCTGCGACGACGCCGAAATAAAGTGGTAGGGGAGGAGGGGGCAGCGCGATGGGCTGATGTGCTGGGCTGCTGAGGAGAGGGAGAGGGGGGGGGGCGACGACGACGCCGAAATAAAGTCGCCGGGGCGGAGGGGGCGGTGCGCTGGGGTGCTGGGGAGCGACACATAGCGACACATGTCGACACAACGCCCGAAATAAAAATTGGTCGGGCGAAGAGCCACGATGAGCGGAGGATGGGGAGAATGGGATGGGGGGGGGCGACGACGACGCCGAAATAAAGTGGTCGGGGCGGAGAGGGCGGTGCGCTGGGCTGCTGGCGAAAAGGACCGGGGGGGGGCGACGACGACGCCGAAATAAAGTGGTCGGGGCGGAGGGGGCAGCGCGCTGGGCTGCTGAGGAGAGGGAGAGGGGGGGGGAGGGGGCGACGACGACGCCGAAATAAAGTCGTGGGGGCGGACGGCGGTGCGCTGGGGTGCTGGGGAGCGACACGTAAGGTGCTGGGGAGCGACACGTAGCGACACATGTCGACACAACGCCGAAAAAATAAAGTGGTCGGGGCGGAGGGGGTGGCGCGCTGGGCTGCTGAGGAGGAGGAAGAGGGGGGAGGGGGCGGACGACGACGACCGTACGCCGACATAAAGTGGTCGGGGCGGAGGGGCGGAGGGGGTGGCGCGCTGGGATGGGCTGCTGGGGGGAAGGATGGCGGGGGCGACGACGACGCCGAAAATAAAGTAGTCGGGGCGAAGGGGGGCGGCGCGCTGGGCTGCTGGGAGAGGGGGGGGGGGGGAGGGGGGGGGGGGGGGGGGGGAACGACGACCCGAAATAAAAGCGGTCGGGGCGGAGGGGGCAGCGCGCCGGGCTGCTGAGGAGAGGGAGGGGGGGGGGGGCGACGACGACGCCGAAATAAAAGTCGGTCGGGGGCGGAGGAGGCGGTGCGCTGGGGTGCTGGGGAGCGACGACACATAGCGACACATGTCGACACAACGCCGAAATAAAGTGGTCGTGGCGGAGGGGGCAGCGCGCTGGGCTGCTGAGGAGAAGGAGAGGGGGGGGAGCGACGAAGACGCCGAAATAAAGTCGTCGGGGCGGAAGGGGGCGGTGCGCTGGGGTGCTGGGGAGCGACACGTAGCGACACATGTCGACACATATCGACGTATAGAGACATGTATCGACACACGCACACATATCGACGCATAGCGACACACAGCGACACATAGCGACGCACACATGGAGACGCATAGCGACACCCAGCGACACATATACATATAGCGACACATATAGCGGCACATGAAGGGCACAATGCGCACAGCGACACATATAGCGACACATTCAGGGCACAAGGCAGCTGGGGGTGAGCGACGACGACGCCGAAATAAAGTGGTCGGAGCTCTAGACACCCTGTGCAATAATATAAATTTCTCATGGACGCTCTCTGGCAGCGGGGTCTGTGGAGTAGTGGGTGTTCTCTTGGACACGGAGTCTGTTGAGTAGTGGGTGCTTTCTTGGACACGGAGTCTTTTAAATAGTGAGTGCTCTCCTGGACACGGAGTCTGTTAAGTTGTGGGTGCTCTTTTTGGAGCGGAATCTGTTGAGTAGTGGGTGCTCTCTTGGACAAGGAATCTGTTGAGTAGTGGGTGCTGGTTTGGACACGGAGTCTGTTGAGTAGTGTGTGCTCTCTCGAAGGCAGGGGCGGGCGGGCGGGCCGGGGAGGGCGGTCGGGCGGATCGTTTTTTTGTTTAATTATTGTTTTATTTTTTTATTTGTTTATTTTTTTGAAAAAGAGTTCTATTGGGTGCTCTCTTGGACACGGAGTCTGTGGAGTAGTGGGTGCTCCCTTGGACACGGAGTCTGTTTGAATGCTTTACTTGTTTGCACCTTTTTTATTTCTGTTTTGTGTATATTTCTTTTGTCTGTTTTCGTTGCATATATTATTTTTTCTGTAGTTTGTCTTTCTGGGCGTTGGTAGGGGACTGTTGAGTAGTGAGGTGTGCTTCCGGACCAAGGGAAAGGGTCTTTCCGTGTCGTCTTTTCTGGTCTTTTTTGTTTGTTGTCTGTCTGTGTCTTTCCCCCTTTTTGTGTTCTTTGTGGAGTAGTGTGTGCTTTCTTGGACACGGAGGGTGAGTAGTTGGTGTGCTCTATTGGACACGGAGGTGCTTCGTTTTTCTTTCCTTTGGTTGTTGTTCTTGGTGTGTTTTTTTTGGTTTTTTCAACTTTCGTTGAGATACTATGTTTTTTCTCTTCTGTGTTTTTCTCTATTTTTTCTTGTTGTGTTTTTTGTTGAGTAGTGTTGTTGGCTCTTGAAGGCAGCAGGGGGCGGTCGGGCGGGCGGGCGGGTCGGGGAGGGCGGCCTGGCGGGGGGGCGGTCGGGCGGGCGGGTCGGGTTTTGAAATGCACTTCTAGTGGGTGCTTTCCGGCAGCGGGGTCTGTGGAGTAGTGGGTGTTCTCTTGGACACGGAGTCTGTTGAGTAGTGGGTGTTCTCTTGGACACGGAGTCTGTTGAGTAGTGGGTGTTCTCTCGGACGCGGAGTCTGTTGAGTAGTGGGTGCTCTCGTGGACACGGAGTGTGTTGAGTAGTGGGTCCTTTCTTGGTCACGGAATTTGTTGAGTAGTGGGCGCTCTCTTGAACACGGGGGCTGTTGAGTAGTGTGTGCTCTCTTGAATGCAGAGGCGGGCGGTCGGGCGGGCGGGTCGGGGAGGGCGGTCGGGCGGGGGGGCGGGCGGGCGGGCGGGTCGGGTTTTTAAATAAACTTCCAATGGGTGCTCTGTGGCAGCGGGGTCTGTGGAGTAGTGGGTGTTCTCTTGGACACGGAGTCTGTTGAGTAGTGGGTGCTCTCTTGGACACGGGGTCTGTTGAATAGTGTGTGCGCTCTTGGACACGGAGTCTGTTGAGTTGTGGGTGCTCTTTTCGGCGCGGAATATGTTGTGTAGTGGGTGCTTTCTTGGACACGGAGTCTGTTGAGTAGTGGGTGATC